CAGACACCCTGGGAGGTAGGTGGGGCTGAGAGAACTCTGACACAAACTGCTCTTTTTCAAGAACAGCTCTTATCAGAACTACGGCTTGCCCAAGGTCATCCAGCAGGTACAAGTGGAGGAGTGGGGAATCAAACCTGGTCCTCCCAGATTAGAGTCCGCGCACTTAACCACTACACCAAACAAAGTACACTTGATTGTTCTTTATATGTGTGCTGAGTAATTCTCATGTTACATTCATTGCACATACAGCTGAATGTGTGACTGAACTCCCACATTTATCCACCTAGTCATTCTTGGTTTCATTTGTAAAGTGAATGTGCACTGGTTTTCTTATGAACATATATATGCATGTACGTGATGGTTGTACAAACATTCACTGTAACATGTGAACAGGCACAAGGGAGCCGCAGATGTACAAATACACGGCTCTCTACTTTGGACTTAACCCATGGCACACTGTTACTGGGGTCAATAAAAACGTTCCTCACCAGGAATCAATCTGACATCCATGTTTTATGCTAGTTATCCTTTAAAAATAATCTGATATGCCAAAATATTTATTTATTTATTTCCCAGATTTATTTCCCAACCTCCCTGCAATGGGCTCAGGGTGGATCACAACAAATAATTCGGCCATTTGGCATCACAAAAACACAACAATAAATAGTTCATTAAAACAAGGGATTTAAAAACAGATTGCACCAAATATTGTACAGTCTCTTGATACTGGTACTGCTGGACTCTAAATTTGCTTAATCCAGGCCATACAGAAGTGCTGGCTGAATCTGAAAGACTGATGTGTCTAAAGCTACCTCATCTGTTTCTGGCTGACTCATGAGAGTTCCAGTACCTGTACAGGGCCAATGCTGCATTTATCAAATGAGGGAAGTGATTTGTTTTTAGAAGACTTGCAGTAAAGGGGTTAGGGCAGCTTTGGGCTGCTAGGTGGACGCAAAGGCCAAAGCAGAGGCTTGACCTTAGCAGTGGGAGGGTAGTGCAGGTAAGAAAGCAGAACCGGTGAGCCCCTGGAGGCATATTCCTGATGGGGAACAAGGCGGTCATCAGGAACAGCCTTTGGGTTTTGCGGCCCAGGCCTGGGAATAATGACCATCTCTGGGAAGCTCTTGGGTAGGCTCCTCCCTGCAAGTTGTGTGGCTTCAGGGGTTAGGCGCTCCTGGATGGCAACCAGTTTGCTGGGCTGCTGGTTGTGAGCCAGACTGTTGGCTCGAGATCAGGGCTGGTGACTCGCCCCATGATGGGCAAGGAGGCTGGTCGGAGAGTGACACCTGCCTTGCCTGTTCTGCACCTGCTTAGCTTTTCCCCTTGCCGCTCAGTTTGTAGTTCTTCCAGATAGTTAATACAGTGGCACTTGTTTGACTCCAAATTGGTGTCTGTCTCGTTATTCCAATGGGGGGGGGGCAAAGTGATCCTTAGACTTCCTGGCTCCCGTATTTTACTCTTAGAGATCATTTCACCTCTACGTATGTTCTTCACTTTCTTGTACCGGTTAGCTTGTGTGTGATTTCAATTCAGTAACCAAAAAATAATAATTTTTTTAAAAAAGAAAGATTTTAGTTTCTGTGGGCTATATTCCTAATGCAAATTATACCATGCAACATAACTACATCCCACAGCAATCACAAGTTCAATCAACATTGTTTGAGAAGGCTAAAACTTGGGGAGGTTTGGGTCCACGGGGGATAGATGAAGCAGAGTTGGCATCTGCAGCACTCATGAGTCAATCTCTCCAAACTATTTTGATAAACATACTTTTTTCCTGCTTACATTATCATCTGCCCTGAGCCTTTGGCATGGAGGACAGTACAAAAAAGAAATACTGAAAGATGCGTGATGTTGACGTTTTAAAGTGTTGTGCTTGGAAAAACATGGACATGTGAGAGACACCTCTCGAATAACTGCATGATCAAAAGCTGAATTTAGGTGAAGACTCATCCTTGGGCACCCTTATATACAACAACAAT